AAAAAAAAAAAAAAAAAAGTTTTCCAATTATCTTAAAAATAAGTCCTCTTGTTTAGTGCAATTTACTACTGAAGATTTGTGTATGTTTATTCTACACCAAGTTTCCTTGTTTACTTTATATTAACTTTTACAACTTTTAAACTCATGACTTTTTTCATGTAAATATCATATAGTTGCAGATAATGCCAGTTTAACTTCATTTTTGCTCTCACTTGTACTTGATTTATTTTGCCATATTGCAAGCACTAAAACTATTATAATGTTGAATATTCATGGTGGTAGCTGTACTCTTTAATTTGTTTTTTATATGAACAAATATTTTAACATGTATTTATATATTAACCTTGTATAAGGTAAGCAGATTTCTTTTTATTGTTTATTATATATTTAAAAATATTTTGTACCCTTTTGTCACATTGAGATAAGAATAAATTTATCTGATTAACTCTGCTGACATATAGATGATGAGATTTAAAACAGGCTAATGATTAAGGGAAAAGCAAGAAAGAATGTCCTAGACACAATGAAGTGCTGTTGACTACTTAACTTCCAGACCCTGTGAGACCATTGTTATGGTAAGAAAATTAGAAACTGCTAGTGAAAATGTTAGAACTATTGACCTCAGGAAGAACTACATTTCTGAGGGAAGCAGAATGTGAAGAGAACATTCTGGAAAGAATGGGAGGAAAAACAAGGTTTCCCCAGTGGTGGTCGGTGTGTTCAGCAGGGCACAGTAGAAGGAATTTAAGAGAGAAGGGACGTACTAAGGGAATGCCAATTTCCCTCTGGATCTGTTTCTTGAAAAACGTGCTAAAAGTTTGACGAGATTAGTGTCAGTACTGGGCAGACTGTGATTAGTGTGAAGTTAGGGGCTAGACAAAGGAGGACAAAATGGGTGAGGTCACTTTGTAAAGTGTCAGTGGTGGTGAGGAGATGGGTTTAATTAGCCCCATTGTAGGGAAGGCCTGGTCCTGTTTGCGTATGACGGAAGTAGGAAGTCCAAACAGGAGCCCTCTACTTTATGTGTGATCTTCACTAAGAAAGGGGAATAAGTTTACCGGCTGTATACTCACTCCTGGCATTATATTCAATCCAGGAAGGTGCAATTACAGACTTCTGGGAAAATCAGTTGCTACTCAGAATATATGGGCTTTTGAAAATGAGTATAGAAAGCTGAAGTAAATAGAAATCCATTAATTCTCTTAGTCTTTATAGTTTTAACAACAGACCACTATAGTGTTTGGCATGCGTGGAAGAGAACCACTTTGGAGGACCTAATGGATAAGGGTACAGATAGGAACAGCTGTACTGTGGTATTATATCTTTCTTTCTGTACTGGAATTGAGGTTTTACAGAGATTCAGAACTGAATTCATGGAAGAAGATAAATTCATGGTCATGAACTTTTTCTATAATGGAAGATTCAGATGCATAGGTGGAATATACAGACTTTTCTAGAAACTGAAAGAGAATTCTCCTGTAAAAAAACGAATGAGAAAGCACAAATTTGAAGCTCTGGCTCTTTTTCTCTATTTTTAATAGAGTCCTGGTGTGAGCAAAGGAAATCTTATGGAAATGTATGTTGCGTTTGATTCTTCTCTGTATCCTCACCATTATTCTATTGTTTGGTAAGTCCTTTCCCAGCTTGAAATATACTTTATAATAACTACAGGAAGTCTGAACACCATTCTGTAATTAACTGAAATACTAAACCATGCAAAGACACATTGAGTTTTGTTTTAAATATTCCTTTATTAGGTATACAACAAAGCTTTTATTGTGATGAATTCTACAGCAGAGAGTTATGAGCTATAGTAAATGTTGCATCTATTGGAAGCAAAGTATTAGCTTTTTTTTTCTATATTTAATCTTTTGTGTTTTTGGAAGCATATAGTAATTTTCTGTAAGATTTATAAAGAATATCTTTTTGGGTGCTATCTCCTATGAATACAATTTACAATGTAATTATCTTTGAGTATAACTACAGCATCATAATCAAATACATTTCTTTGTACTTTGTACAGAATAATGAACTAATTGAGCAATTAAATAATTTATCCCAGGATATATAATGAAAAGTTGTGGAACAGAGATTTGAATCCACTAATCAAGCCTAGGAGCTCAAGTTCTTCACCAATCTATTACTCATGCTACAGCCAAATTAATGTTTACAAGTTACTTATGATGTGCCTTTTAATTTTAGGCTGTGCAGGTATGTTCTTTATAACCAATTAGAAACTTTTTGTTCATTTTATATATAAAGGCTTAGGGTAAGTAGATTATTACATAAAGCTTCCTTAAGCCAAAGTAAAGCAAAAGCATAAAGCAGAAGTAATCCCACTTTATAGGTAGTATATATATATATATCAGACAGTCTGGGAGTCAAAGGAAGTCAAGACAGCAGATTCTGCAGTGTTAGTTCAGTTCGAATGTTTCTGCAAATATCCAGTTTGTAATAAGTATATTGCTTCCAAATATAATGTCTGAAGTTTTATGATTTTTTTGTTTGCTTGTTTTTTTTTTGTTTTGTACCGGGATCGAACTCGGGTCCTTGCACTCGTAAAGCAGATGGCAGAACCACTGAGGAAAATACCCGGCTATTTTATTATTTTTTAAAACAGTTACATAACTGAGGCATATATATTTGATCAATTGGATTGATTAACAATGCCTTAAATTCAAAATAATTCTTTGGTAGTTTTATGTGATAGTCTAATGTTAAAATAAAATGCCTAATATACATGAAGCACCAGAATAGTCCCTGTTTTCTCCATTAGTTTATGCTAGTGAACACTGTACTATTCCTTACAATTTGAGGGTAATGAATTAGTCCTGCAGATTTTGAAGGTTTGTGGATTCATGTCCTTTTGGAAGCCTTTTTTTTTTTTTTGTCCTGGCATTTTAAAGCTGGCAACTTTTTGATGGCAACTGTTTTCTCCATCTGTCCCATATATTTAGAACCATGGTGAAGAATATATTTCATTTTCATACTATGCAAGTAGGCCTTTCCTTTTGTCTGTTTCCAATGTGATTTCTCTGAGAAGTCTTCTATACTTTGTGCTTTTGTGACTGCCAGATAGGATAAACTGTCCAAAGAATCTTAAAGAAGCTCAAAATTTAGATAAGTAAAATCTGAAATATGGTGTTTTGGCATTAGGAAGGGTGTGTTAGGTTATGCTCTGGTGATAAATATACCTTATATATTTAGTGGCTTCACAAATGCAGGTGGAATTTTTGCCTAATAGCAAAGCCCTACCTAATATGCAAAAGCAGGAAAGTAGAAACTGACAGGGGACAACTGGATAGGGTTGAACACTAGTAATTTTTACGTAGCTGCCAGCTATTCTTTGTTGAAAATGTTTATCTGTCCAATATCTTATCCCTTTTAAAATCACAGGTTACATAATCTGATTTATCACCCAGATGAGTAATGTAGATTTGGATTGTTTTGTAATTTGCTTAAGACAGAATAAGATTTGCAACTTTTGAGGGAATTAATTTGTCCAAGGTTTTGGCTGTTATATTTAACAATCTATTATTGTAATATTGTAATCTGAAGAACTAATATTACATCATTTCTTTTCTGGGGGGGGTATCGGGGATTGAACTCGGGCCGTTGTGCTTGCGAGGCAGGCGCTGGAACCACTGAGCTAAATCCCCGGCCCCTACATCATTTCTCAATCAACAGATAGCTAGAAAAAAATTTTAGAGAGAGTTAGGGGAAATTTCTAGACAAAAAAACAGGAAAGGATACCTAGCACTTTCTAACATTTGAAGTACTTCAGGAGATTTATGGGCCTCTGAATAAGCCGTGAGTCCCTGTGTGAGTTATTTAACTACCTCAGACCCTTGCCCTTAAGTTGAGTGGGGAAGTGACATGGCAGAGTTTTCATATTAAGGGAGTAAATCCATGTAAATAAATTAAAATATTTCCTGGGTTTTATGAACATCTCAGTGCTGTGTGGAACTCTGAAAGTGATGATGCCATCTAAGTCGTATCTGAGCCAAATCCAGGTGCATACATCATTAGTTATAAACAGATTTCCTACATACTAAAGGTTTTCCATAAGGAAATGTTTAAATCCCTCTGGAAGCCACTAAATGAAAGCATGCTAACACATATTATTCCATGAGTCTTTTTAATGTCTTTGGTAGTTCTGTGACATTAATAAAATTCTTTCCATGGATTTTTTATTTTCCACATAAATACAAAGATTTATAATCTATGTTTATCAGTTTACAACCTCTAAGCATTATACATAATAAAACATGCCAATGAAATGTGATTGCTGTAAGCCTGGGAATAATTGGGGAACAAGACTTGTTATAAAACTGTCACTATCAATATTTGAACTTTTTGGTAGATTGAATTACTGCTCCCTCCTACTCTATTTCAAATTAATGTTGAAGCCCTAACCCACAGTGTCTTATAATATACTCTTCTGTGAAAATAGTTACTTGACATAAAATTAATTAAGATGAGGTCGAAAGAGAATACAGTGGACATCAATTCCGATCAAATTCATATGACTAGAGTCATCATACGAGTAGGGCATTTAAGCACAGAGACATATGCTGTAGCGGGAAAAGATGATATTAAGATAATGGAGGAGAGTTAAGTAAAGCCATAATACACTCAGACTTTTGTTTTCAGAAGGAACCGATTCTATCAGCACTTTGAAATTGCAATTCTAGCCTGCAGAATGGTGTGTCAGTGAATTTCTGTTGGATAAACCATCTGTTTTGTAGCACTTTGTTATGACTGTCCTAGTCAATGAACATATGTTGCAACATATTTTAATATTGCATTTTAAGCCTTTTATAAGATTACTAATATTTATTACATTCCAAGCACTTTATATCTTACACTACCAAGTATCATTTGAGATAACTCCTATTTTAGTTACAGAACTTGCCCCCAAACAAATATTAAAATAAATGACTCATAACCCAATTAAATAATTTATATTACTAAAACTTTAACTTTTTATAAGAGGAGTTTCTCATCTTCAAGTGTCTAAGACCCTGAAAACTATTCTTAGTAGTTCTGTCCCAGAAGTTTGGAGGTGAAGATGTGCCTAATTTTGTTCTTCTTGTTGCATTAATGACTGGTACATATTAATTGCTAATCTACAATCTAGATGAAGATTTTATCAGAAAAGAGAATTTTGTAAAGACAATAGATTTTTTTTTCATGCACTTGCCATTGGTAAGTAAATAAACTAAATCTGTATATGTTTATATATTATTATATTACATATTATTTATGTATTATATGTGTTATTTGTATATTATTATATATCATGGTATTACATAAAGTAATTCACATTTCTATGTAAATATTAATGGTCTTTAAACATATATGGCATGTGACCTTTAAATAAGAGAAGTAGGAAGAATGCTAGTATGGCAAATAGGTGCTTCTTCTCAGATGTATAATAGCATCTTGACACCTAAGAATTGTGTGTCTATATTTAATAGAGGTTCTCTTTCTCACCTCTTCATTCCAGTGATTTCTGATGTATCTAAGCAAATTTCGGTGGAGCTTATTGAAGTGCTATGAATTTTATTGAGGTAGTTTATTGAAGCAGTAGTTTATTGAATTTTATTGAAGCCATTTATTGAAGTACAATTAATCCATAAAGTTCTTCAGCCGTACCTCTATAGCGTCAAAGATGTATTTGAATTTTAAAAAAAAATCACTAAGCTTCTAAACTTTAAACCCAAAATATTTATTTTTAGTTTGCTTCTTTCTCCTCTCTTTCACTCTTCTTCCATTTCTAGGGCAGCAGAGAACACTTGCTGTCATATAATATCCTCCTAGGAGCAATTTAGTGTGTATCTAACAGGGAGGAAAATGTGTGGACTCTAAATCAGATCCTTTACTATACTCTGGAGATGCTACTGAAAAGTTCACGAGGCCAGAGTACACAAAGCAGAGATCAAACCTGAGGGCACATCTCTCATCATTAACTTTGTAGTTACCAGTTTGAATCTTTTCTTTTTTAGCTGGGACATAGATTTTCCCAATTTTGTACTCTGTTGGAATTTTATTAATATAAAATTTGTTCTATTTATACAGCACACATTTATGAAGTAGAAGCTTAATAGTAATTATTGTTCTTGGCAACCTCTTTCATCTGCTGTTATTAGTTTAATGTCTTCTGTACTCTGTCATAAAAACACCTATGTATCCATTTTGGTCTTGTATATAGCAGCTTTGGCTTGTTGAAATTAGGATATTTTATTTCAATTAATTTTTGATGTCCTACTATAGAATATATGCTATAATGCTTCTTGAAACTCTGGAGTTTTGATAACACCATCTCCAGTGATTTTATTTAATGTTCTCAGGCTTTTTGTCTTTTTGCTCAAATTCTTGTTAGAAGCACTTATAATGAAGGTTGTGTCTGAAGTTTGGACTAGCTGTCCTTGTAATGTATATCACTGTGATTGCCTTTCATTCATTCTTTTTAAGCTTTAAGAAAAGATTGATTTCTATTTTCCATTTTATAAATTCAATATCATAATTATAAAACAGCTGTCATATCTAATGTCTACCATAAATCACTATGTTTTATAATAAGCTGCACCTCAGAAAACTGTTCATGGTAGTCAAAGATGTAAG